CTCCACACCTTCTCCTAATTTCCACACTCCGAATTTTCTGCATAATATTTACACCACACATTGCCCTTAACAGGACATCTCCGCTGCCTCCAACCGCCTCCTCGCTGCTGCATTTACCACCCAAGCTTCACACCCATATAAGAGTGTTGGTACTACTATACTTTCATACATTCCCTTCTTTGCCTCCATAGATAACGTTTTTTGACTCCACATATACCTCAACGCACCACTCACCTTTTTTCCCTCATCAATTCTATGATTAACCTCATCCTTCATAAATCCATCCGCCGACACGTCAACTCCCAAGTATCTGAAAACATTCACTTCTTCCATACTCCTCCTCCCCAATTTGATATCCAATTTTTCTTTATCTAAATCATTTGACACCCTCATCACCTTACTCTTTTCTATGTTCACTTTCAACTTTCTACCTTTACACACATTCCCAAACTCATCCACTAACCTTTGCAATTTTTCTTTAGAATCTCCCATAAGCACAGTATCATCAGCAAAAAGTAACTGTGTCAATTCCCATTTTGAATTTGATTCCCCATAATTTAATCCCACCCCTCTCCCAAACACCCAGCATTTACTTCCTTTACAACCCCATCTATAAATATATTAAACAACCATGGTGACATTACACATCCCTGTCTAAGACCTACTTTTACCGGCAAGTAGTCTCCCTCTCTTCTACACACCCTAACCTGAGCCTCACTATCCTCATAAAAACTCTTTACAGCATTAATAACTTACCACCTATTCCATAACTTGCAACATCTGCCACATTGCTCCTCTATCTACTCTATCATATCCCTTTTTTCTAAATCCATAAATGCAATAAAAACTTTCCTATCTTTATCTAAATACTGTTCACATATATGCTTCAATGTAAACACCTGATCTACACATCCCCTACCCACTCTAAAACCTCCTTGCTCATCCGCAATCCTACATTCTGTCTTACCTCTAATTCTTTCAATTATAACCCTACCGTACACTTTTCCTGGTATACTCAGTAAGCTTATTCCTCTATAATTTTTACAGTCTCTTTTGTCCCCTTTCCCTTTATATAAAGGGACTATACATGCTCTCTGCCAATCCCTAGGTACCTTCCCCTCTTTCATACATTTATTAAACAAAAGTACCAACCACTCCAACACTATATCCCCCCCTGCTTTTAACATTTCTGTCATGATCCCATCAGTTCCAGCTGCTTTACCCCCTTTCATTTTACGTAATGCCTCACGTACCTCCCCCACACTTACATTCTGCTCTTCTTCACTCCTAAAAGATGGTATACCTCCCTGACCATGCATGAAATTACTGCCTCTGTTTCTTCCTTAACATTTAAAAGTTCCTCAAAATATTCTCGCCATCTACCCAATACCTCCATCTCCCCATCTACTAACTCCCCTACTCTGTTTTTAACTGACAAATCCATATTTTCCCTAGGCTTTCTTAACTTGTTTAACTCACTCTCCAAAATTTTTTCTTATTTTCATTAAAATTTCTTGACAGTGCCTCTCCCACTCTATCATCTGCTCTCCTTTTGCACTCTCTCACCACTCTCTTTACCTTTCTTTTACTCTCCATATACTCTGCTCTTCTTATAACACTTCTGCTTTGTAAAAACCTCTCATAAGCTACCTTTTTCTCTTTTATCACACCCTTTACTTCATCATTCCACCAATCACTCCTCTTTCCTCCTGCCCCCACCCTCCTATAACCACAAACTTCTGCCCCACATTCTAATACTGCATTTTTAAAACTATTCCAACCCTCTTCAACCCCCCCACTACTCATCTTTGCACTAGCCCACCTTTCTGCCAATAGTCGCTTATATCTCACCCGAACTTCCTCCTCCCTTAGTTTATACACTTTCACCTCCCTCTTACTTGTTGTTGCCACCTTCCTCTTTTCCCATCTACCTCTTACTCTAACTGTACTACAACTAAATAATGATCCGATATATCAGTTGCCCCTCTATAAACATGTACATCCTGGAGCCTACCCATCAACCTTTTATCCACCAATACATAATCTAATAAAACTACTTTCATTACGTGCTACATCATACCTTGTATATTTATTTATCCTCTTTTTCATAAAATATGTATTACTTATTACCAAATTTCTTTCTACACATAGCTCAATTAAAGGCTCCCCATTTACATTTACCCCTGGCACCCCAAATTTACCTACTACTCCCTCCATAACATTTTTACCCACTTTAGCATTAAAATCCCCAACCACCATTACTCTCACACTTGATTCAAAACTCCCCACGCATTCACTCAACATTTCCCAAAATCTCTCTCTCTCCTCTACACTTCTCTCTTCTCCAGGTGCATACACGCTTATTATAACCCACTTTTCACATCCAATCTTTATTTTACTCCACATAATCCTTGAATTAATACATTTATAGTCCCTCTTTTCCTGCCATAGCTTATCCTTCAACATTATTGCTACTCCTTCTTTAGCTCTAACTCTATTTGAAACCCCTGACCTAATCCCATTTATTCCTCTCCACTGAAACTCTCCCACCCCCTTCAGCTTTGTTTCACTTAAAGCCAGGACATCCAGCTTCTTCTCATTCATAACATCCACAATCATCTCTTTCTTATCATCTGCACAACATCCACGCACATCAGACTTCCCACTTTGACAATTTTCTTCTTCTTATTCTTTTTAGTAATCTTTACAGGAAAAGGGGTTACTAGCCCATTGTTCCCGGCATTTTAGTTGACTTTTACAACACGCATGGCTTACGGAGGAAAGATTCTTATTCCACTTCCCCATGGATATAAAAGGAAAATTAATAAGACCAAGAACTATTAAGATAAAATCAAAGAAAACTCAGATGAGTGTGTATAAATAAATGTGTACATGTATGTGTTGTGTGACCTAAGTGTAAGTAGAAGTAGCAAGACATGCCTGTAATCTTGCATATTTATGAGACAGACAAAAGACATCAGCAATCCTACCATCATGTAAAACAATCACAGGCTTCGTTTTACACTCACTTGGCAGGACGGTAGTACCTCCCTGGGTGGTTGCTGTCTACCAACCTACTACTATATATATATATATATATATATATATATATATATAATATATATATTATATATATATATATATATATATATATTATAATATATATATATATATTAACATATACACAGTGGACCCCCGCATAACCATTACCTCCGAATGCGACCAATTATGTAAGTGTATTTATGTCAGTGCGTTTGTACGTGTGTTTAGGGGTCTGAAATGGACTAATCTACTTCACAATATTTCTTATGGGAACAAATTCGGTCAGTACTGGTGCCTGAACATACTTCTGGAGTGAAAAAATATCGTTAACCGGGGGTCCACTGTATATATATACATACGTATATATATATACATACGTATATATATATACATACGTATATATATATACATACGTATATATATATACATACGTATATATATATATATATACATACGTATATATATATATACATACGTATATATATATATATACGTATATATATATATATACATACGTATGTATACATACATACGTATGTATACATACATACGTATGTATACATACGTATGTATACATACGTATGTATACATACGTATGTATACATACGTATATATATATATACATACGTATATATATATACATACGTATATATATATACATACGTATATATATATACATACGTATATATATATACATACGTATATATATATACATACGTATATATATATATACATACGTATATATATATATACATACGTATATATATATACATACGTATATATAATATACATACGTATATATATATACATACGTATATATATTACATACGTATATATATACGTATATATATATATATATATATATATATATATATATATATATATATATATATATATATATATATATATATATATATATATATATATATATATATATATATATATACGGTTGGAGGCAGTGGAGATGTCCTGTCTAAGGGCAATGTGTGGTGTAAATATTATGCAGAAAATTCGGAGTGTGGAAATTAGGAGAAGGTGTGGAGTTAATAAAAGCATTAGTCAGAGGGCAGAAGAGGGGTTGTTGAGGTGGTTTGGTCATTTAGAGAGAATGGATCAAAGTAGAATGACATGGAAAGCATATAAATCTATAGGGGAAGGAAAGAGGGGTAGGGGTCGTCCTCGAAAGGGTTGGAAAGAGGGGGTAAAGGAGGTTTTGTGGGTGAGGGGCTTGGACTTCCAGCAAGCGTGCGTGAGCGTGTTAGATAGGAGTGAATGGAGACGAATGGTACTTGGGACCTGACGATCTGTTGGAGTGTGAGCAGGGTAATATTTAGTGAAGGGATTCAGGGAAACCGGTTATTTTCATATAGTCGGACTTGAGTCCTGGAAATGGGAAGTACAATGCCTGCACTTTAAAGGAGGGGTTTGGGATATTGGCAGTTTGGAGGGATATGTTGTGTATCTTTATATGTGTATGCTTCTAGACTGTTGTATTCTGAGCACCTCTGCAAAAACAGTGATAATGTGCGAGTGTGGTGAAAGTGTTGAATGATGATGAAAGTATTTTCTTTTTGGGGATTTTCTTTCTTTTTTGGGTCACCCTGCCTCGGTGGGAGACGGCCGACTTGTTGAAAAAAAAAAAAAAAAAAATATATATAAATACACATTACAAGGTGCAATTTTACATAAGGTGCCAAAATCAGGAACATAACCGCGGTATCATGTGAGGTCATACTGTACATCTTGTTCCTGCTAGTGATGAAAAGTTTGATGGCATATAAGAATTTCCTGTACCCTGCTTATTATAAGAGATATGTGTATTCCCTGTGCGTGAACTTACCATGATCACCATTCCTTAATAAAAATCTTTCATGTTGCTTTTTTGTTTATAAAAAAAGCATTTCCAAAATTAGGGCTGTTCAGTGGCATGAAAGTCTAATTCTTAATCATACATTTACCTGATGGCCACCATATTGGGTGACCTTGAAGAGAAAGATAGCCTACATTTGATAGGTTTCTCCACTTTTACTCTCTAGGAGAGGAACACTGTGTTGTCAATTTTGCAATCTATCTTGATATGCTTGAAGTCTTGAAGTTGTAGCTTCTTGTAGGTTTAGCAATAGATATAGATATCCTGAAGAAATCAAGGTTAAAATGACATGTGCAGTTCAGTATCTTGTCATAAGACCTGCCTTGTAAAATATTACTGGAAATGTTGGTCCTACAACCTTCAGCCTATCCTCATATTCAAGGTGGTTTAGCTCTTGGATAAATTTGGTTGCCCTGTATTGTACTTTTTCTAGTGATGCAGTGTGTTTCAGGAGATGGAGTCTTAAATCTTGAGTAAATGAAGAAGGGTGCTGGAGGATACTAGAAAGCTCTTCACAAACAGTGATAGAACAATGGAGTAGGTTACAACAGAAGGTAGGAAGTGCTGCAGCCACTGGAAATTAAAAAGAAAAAAATTAAATACTGAAGATGGGAGAAACCATGAACTTAGCTCTGTGCATATAGCTACAAATACGTAATAATATAATAATATCTTTATTTACTACAAGAACATGTACATGGTATACAGGCCTAGCTGACATCAATGACTTGCTACTATACAGAAAGCCGCTTGTTATGCTGAACATTTTGGGGATATTAGGTCAGTTTTGTCCCAGGATGCGACCCGCACCAGTCAACTAACACCCAGGTACCCATTATTACTGATGGGTGAACAGGGACAGCAGGTGTCTTATGGAAATATATCCCTAATGTTTTCCAGCTGTACCGGAGGAGATTCGAACTCAGGACCTCAGTGTGTGAGCTGAGTGCGCTAGCGATTGAACTACGGGACACATACAGATAGGGATCTACAGGGATTTTGTAGGACTGGATGATCTTGTATTCAAAGATAAATTTTTGTGGCTTTTGTTGTTCAGTTGCTCCTACTCAGAGCTAGCTCCTAGGCTTTGCAACCCCCTCCCCCTCAGGGTTGGATTGTTGTGCCAAATAGTCTTTCATTTGCTACACTGAAAAGCATTTTGAGATCTGCTCTCTTATTTCTTATTTGATATACATGTATTGTTATTCCTGTGGGATTCTGCTTATATTATGGTATGACTTTGGTCACTTCAATGAACCACTTCTAGCTGTGCAATTTTTTATGAAGACGAGATCTCCAACAGATTGGTTGACCAGGCAAGCACTAGACAAGTCTGGCCCAGGGCCAGGCTTTGGGAGTAGAAGAACTCTCAAAACTCAAAGATAAAGGTAGGGGTTATGTTTATTTTAAGGTAAAACAAAAAATTTCCTTTAAGTCCAGAGAATAACTGTCTCCACTGGACAGCCCACTTAATATTAAAGAATTTACATAATAAAAACTGAAGACTCAACTCAATGGTAACCAAGGTACAAATGCATGAGTATTAAGAGGCAGCATTACTTCAGTCTACATTTACATTACTGCAGGTCAGTATTATACAAAGGTATTAAATCACATATACATGTACTGTAATATAACTTTTCATATTTATATCATACTGCCAAGGATATAGTCAATACAGAGAGGTAACATACATATAATGATCAACTATCTTAGATATTCCTACAGTTCCTAAAAAGTATTTATCACTATGTAAAAATAAATCTGCCAGCCTAACAGCACAAAGGTAACAACTTTCATTCAACACCAGTTATATTCATTCTATAATGCACAAATTCATTCATTTTATAAAACTATGTATTCTTATCCTCAAAATCTTATAAAACTATGTGTTCTTATCCTCAAAATTTTATTAAACTATGTATCTTATCCTCATATACTTGCATTCATAATCAAGCTTTAAAGTGTTAGTCTACCTGCTTGTCTGCTGTTGTTAGTCATTAAGTAATTTCACTGTAAACATGTACCTACTTCTGTTTCTCAAATTTGGCAACTCCATTTTCTGAGTTAGTAGTGTTATTTTCCATATTAAATTTATACTTAGAAATTAGCTATGAAACTATTACTATGTAAAGTCGCTGCTTCGAGAATTCAAGTTCATGATTACAATGTCCTGCCATGTCATGTAAAATTTTATACCTATATCTCTACAAAACTATAACCCAAATTAATTGTTAGATAAGATTTTTGTTTGACTTTTTAACCCCAGAAGGTTAGTCACCCAGGATAACTATCTCTTATTTCCATTGGGGTCCTTCAATCTTGTCCCCCAGCATATGACCCACACCAGTTGACTAACACCTAGGTACCTGCTTACTGCTAGATGAATAGAGACAGCAAGTGTAAGGAAACATACCCAACATTTGCACCTGGCTGGGGATTGAACCACAGACACTCAAGTGTGTGTGTCTTATGTCTCATGAGCACTTATGTCTGCTAATGTCATCTAGAGTACAAAGATACGCCCTTGTAGTATTAAGTTAGGCTTAAGCTTACCCAAAATACTCTGCATAACAATGGGCTTTCAACATGCTCTCAAATGTCATCCATTTTTAAAGCTTTCACTTCACATGGCGAAGTTCTGGGTTCGATTCCCAGTGAGGGTAGAAACATTGGGCATATTTCTTTACACCGGTTGTCTATGACCACCCATCAGTAAAATGGGTACCTGGGAGTTAGTCGACTGGTGTGGGTCGCATCCTGGGACAAGGACCTAATTTGCCCAAAATGCTCAGCATAAGGGGCTTTCTATATAGTAGTATGTAATAGATGTCAGCTAGGCCTGTATACCTTGTACATGTACTTGTAGTAAATAAAGATATTATTATATTGAAATAAACTAGTATTGTGTATTTTAAGGTAGAACAGGTGATGATAATTAAGTGACAATGTCACCTTCGTATATCTATAACTATACATATTACTATTTTTTCCAAATTCTATATACAAGTCACATATAAGTACTGCAAAAAAAAATCTGTAGAAGACTTTGAAGAAGAATTAAGCAGTGTAATAACCTGGATGACTCATCAGCCAAACATCATTTGACAGGCACTCCCGGTCACCCTCCCTCTCTCTTGTTTTACTGGTGCACACACATTATATCGTTCCTCTGAGAACCCACCATATACTCACGTTATCTATGACCACTGGCTGGTTAACTAAAACTTCATAAGGCTCCATTGTGAGGGATATAACAGAAATGGGCGGATGGCCCCCCTAGTGATGTTGTTGAAGTTTGACTGACCGCCCACCAGAGGGCTCGTCCTCCTACACAACCAATATTTTGTAACATTTATTAAAAAAAGGCGGCTAAAATGTATTAATTTTATAATAATATGCAGATCTTTATTCACTCTTGTGCGATTTTTAAAATATTGAGTCAGTAAATTATGGATGGTCGTAGTAATTAAGAGGATTTTATTAGGCAAGTTAATCACTCAACAGTAGAAGATTTTAATGTTTTAACAGTCTCGATTTAACAATATAATAACTTAAACTTTTTTTTTAAATGTCTTAATGCTTTTAAGATCTGTGATGAATGACATACATTAATTTTTAAGATGTTAGAGAGATCGTTGACATGTTTTAAATTTTCATTATTTGATGCAGATCTTTAATATGTAGAGATTAAAAAAATATTTAAGTTTTAATAGTCTATGAAATCAATTATTTAATAGAAACTAATAAAAAGTTGGTCTACCTCCGTATCCTCTTTGCTCTCACTTGTAAACAAGTGCACATGCCCAGACTGCTCTGTATCGACATCTGAATAATCCACACGGGTTTAGCGGCTACCTGAAGTCCTAGTTGTTGGCCTGATCAATCTAATCTGTATCGACATCTCTGAAGTAAATTTTATGTATCTCTGAGTAACACAAGAAGTGTGATATATTGCAAGTCTTGCAGTCATCGGGAGGAGTTTCCACTTATCCTGAGGAAGAAGTCGTCCCTTAAGGCTAAGAAAATGAATGAAGGAAGTCGAATATTTGCTCCTTACCGAGCTTTAGGTTTGGTAAGCACACACATCCCACTTGTTGTACGCTACATTCAACGTAGAAAGGAAAATCTCATCGTAACTGTTGTGGGCAACTCCTTCCATACTTATGGTGCAGCCAAGTTGGGACTACTTAGTGTGGGTAACCCACATGAAGACTCAATCATCTGTATGGCTGCTGATGCTTATCATATCTACACATCAAGCAGAGACATTATATATGCCTGGCGACGTGGTACAGAGCTCAAGCATACATATGGTGGGAACAACCAAACAAAAGTTCATCTTATTCTGCCATTTGGACCACACCTGATTGCTGTGGATAAACGGAATTACCTACGTGTTTGGGACATCAAAGCTGAATCATTGTACTTGGAGATGGAGTTTCAAAGGAAATGTTTTGAGATAACGGCCATAGCACATCCAGCAACCTATCTCAACAAGATCTTAGTAGGCAGCAAGCAGGGAAAGATGCAGCTATGGAACCTCAAAACTTGTAAATTGCTTTATTCTTTCAGTGGTTGGGACTCGAGTGTACTCGTTTTAGAACAAGCTCCAGCACCTGATGTGATCGCAGTGGGCCTAGCAAATGGAAGGATTATCCTTCATAACCTGAAGTTTGACGAGACTGTGGTGGACTTCAAGCAAGATTGGGGTACAGTAACAGGAATAAGTTTTCGAACAGATGGGTTTCCAGTGATGGTGACCGGCAGTGAAATAGGACATATTGCATTATGGGATTTAAAAGAGAGACGTCTAGTCACACAGTTGCGTGATGCACATTCTGGTCCAGTGTCTGGGATTAATTGCTTACCAAATGAGCCTTTGATGGTTACGTCATCACCTGACAACTCTCTCAAGATGTGGATATTTGATCTTCCAGATGGAGGAGCCAGGTTACTGAAGATTCGAGATGGCCATTCAGCTCCTCCTCTGATAGCAAGATTCCATGGAAGCTTAGGAAATTCTATCCTTACTGCTGGTGAAGATTCTGTTATTAGGGTTTTCTCCACAGTGACTGACATTTTGAATAAGAGTTTAGGACAAGCTTCATATAACAGAAAAGCTTCTAAAAAGAAAACGAGTGTCATAGATACTAAGAAAATGCCAGCAATTACTTGTTTAGCCTCAGAGACTGCACAGGAAAAAGCTTGGGATAATGTTGCTGCAGTTCATCGAGGCAAAACTGTAGTGACAACTTGGTCAATAGGATCACAAAAAATGGGGCAGCATACATTGGTTCATGAGCGATTTAAAGGTAGAGAACTTTGTGGCTCTGTTGCAACATGTGTAGACCTAACAATCTGTGGAAACTTTGTTGTAATAGGATATGATTCTGGTCATATGGACAAATATAATATCCAGTCTGGAATTCATCGAGGGACATTTGGTAATCCAGTTGCTCATGATGGTGGTGTGAGGGATGTTGTAACAGATGGATTAAATCAGTATGTAGTGTCAGGAGGGCAAGATGGTGAGCTGAAGTGGTGGAGAATGAAAAACTGTCGTGGTATCAAGAAACTGAAAATGAATGAAAGTGTATCAAAAATGTCACTTCAGAGGGATTCTGGACTATTAGGCATTGCCCTTGAAGATTGGAGTATTCATATTGTTGACATAGATACAAAGAGCCTTGTAAGAAAATTTTATGGACATCGTAATCAAGTGACAGACATATCATTCAGTTCAGATTCAAAATGGCTTATCAGCTCATCTCTTGACAAAACAATTAGGACTTGGGACATTCCTTCTGGTTCTTGCGTGGACTCTTTTATGGTGCCCATTCCAACTACTTCATTAACAATGTCTCCTATTGGTGACTTTGTAGCAACCACTCATGTAGATCATCTCGGTGTCTATCTTTGGTCTAATCAGGCATGCTTTCACCATCTGTCTCTTCGGCCTTTGCCTGAGAATTTCCAAGCAGCAACCATCTCCTTGCCTTCAACAGCTGCAGATGTGACACAGTTAGTACCAAAAGAGGGTGATGAGACTGCTGAGGTAAAACCTGATGATGATGTTGACAGTAATTATGATGAATACAAGTCTCCTCAGCAAATTTCTGAAGAATTAGTTACATTAGCTTTGTTACCAACGTCAAGGTGGCTAAATTTGCTAAATCTAGATGTTATCAAAAAAAGGAACAAACCAGTGGAACCTCCAAAGGTGCCAAAATCAGCACCATTCTTTTTGCCTACTGTTCCAGGTTTAGAATTTAAATTTGCTGCTTCAGAACAGGAAACAAATGAAGAGAAATCTAAAGTAAAGTCTTTATTTACATTTGAAGTATTAACTACCTTTGGGAAAAAGTTGAAGGATGGAGATCTAGAAGATGCACTGAAAATGTTGTTGGAGATGGGCCCTTCAGGGGTTGAAGTTGAAATTCGAGGCTTGGATCCTGATGCTGGTGGATCTGAGGAAGTTTTGGTAAAATTCTTAGAAATGATCAAGTGCGCTCTAGATAAGCAGCATTATTTTGAAGCTGTTCAAGGTTATCTAGGATTATTTCTTAAGCTACATGGAGATTTTGTTATGAGAAGTAAAAAAGTGCATGAAATATGTGATGAATTAGCAGTTGTTCAAGGGAAATCATGGCATAATATATGTGACACAATGAACCAAACTCTGTGTCTTGTTTCATATTTCAAAAATGCTGCTTTGATTAACTACTAAAACTGCAAATTGAGCCAAACAAGACTATAAGTGTATAGAATATGCCCTGTTCATTACTGTATTTCATTCAAGCTGCCTTGATTAATTTTAAAACTTTGTAATTTGAAAATAAAAAATTATACTGTAATCCAGTGATGAAGTTAAAATGTGCAGATTAATTAAAATAATTCGGTCAAAATTTGTATATTATTTCCTCATACAACATTTTATGAGAGTAAAAAAAAAAAAGTTAGAGAGGGAAAGGTGATGTTATTGAAGGTGCATGACCCTTAAGATGAAATATGTGAAGGTCAGACCAGCTTGGGTTAGGAGTATGCAAGAGGCAGAGTCAGTAAGGGTAGTGAGGAGTGCTAAATGGAAAATATAATCAAAGTTCGTATAATAAAGCTATTGCTGACAAAAAGTCAAAGAGAGAGTCTGCATCAAACATGGAGCTGTCACAAGCTGCCCTCTGGAACTCCAGAGGATGGATCAGCAACACCACCACCGAGGACCAATGGAATGGGATGGGCAGCGAAACTCTTTCTTCAACCTATGAGCTATAATTAACAGGGAGATCCCCAAAGGCTGACCATAGGTAAGGAAGGAGAGGGGAGAGATGGGAAAGGGAGGAGTGGGGGACAGTTAGGTTTGGTCTAAGGAAGAAGACTGAAAGGTCCAATTCCTTAGATCAGCTTCTTCACCACAGTAAGGAAATCTCCTTGAAGAGGACACCTTGGGTTTTGTGAGTCTAAGCATGTAGTGTGCTAGCACTTTCCCATAACCAGCAGCAATGGAGGGAGGACAGCTAAAAGCCCAATTGTAGTTTGATGCAGAAGTTTGTTGGTCACTAATGAGACCCAGTGTTGTCCGCTCTCTCAAAGACCGAGTGTTATTATTACTACATATATACATATCTAAGAATCTGAGGCTAAGTTTGTACAGTACTGAAAAAGCACCCAGTGAATTGTAAATGTCTGTGGGACATTGCAAAATTTTGCTTCCAGGCTCATTTTATTATCCTCCTACTTATAAAACCCTCAAGGGAGTTTCCATGATGCCAACAAGGCACTCTTGATCCAAAAAATTGGCTCTGTCCCTTGGATTAAACCTGACTGCCTCCCATCTTTTCCCCAAGTGCTGTATAACTCTATGGGTTTAACACTTCACCATATCGAATCTGGATGCATTTCATTCCCTTAGACATTATATAACCCCAATGGGTTTAGCATTCCCATGAATAATAATATTATATTTAGGATAGTGATTGCCTTAATTACAAGATTATATTTAGTACAATGATGACTTTCATTACAAGATTATATTTGGTGCAATGATCTTTATTAGAAGATTATATTGAGTACACTGATGACCTTTATTGCAAGATTATATTCAGTGCAATGATGACCTTTACTACAAGATTATATTTAGTACAGTGATGACTTTTATTACAAGATTATATTTAGTACAATAATGACCTTAAGGTGGAACCCTGGTCACCGTACTTTTGTTGAATTATCTCTGAATAGATCTGCTAGGTGCCTTGATGCTGATGAGGGGCTCTTGATCCGAGGAATTGGTCTTTACATCCCTTTGAATCCTGCATCCTGTGAACCTTTAGAAAAATCGTATAATTTTGAATGTACAGCAATTTTGAAAAACCATTGTACTTCTTATTTACTGTTTCCCCATGCGCTGTATGACCCCCATCGGGTTTAACGCTCTCCAATGAATGTAATATTACAGGCCATTGTAAAAAAAATGAAATGTTTCCAAAATCTCCATATAGTAAGTTCATTCAGGTTAACACAAATACAGTTACATAGATTGTCATACATAGCAGCATATGTGTATTATTATTATAATAAAAAAGAAGCGCTAAACCACAAGGGTTATACAGAGCATATGTGTAGAGAACCTGGGATAACCCAAAAAAGTCAGTGGTAGTTGACCCTCAAGGGGGACCCTTGATGCTGGCGAGGGGCTCTTGATTCAAGAAATTGGAATTTTCCTCCACATCCTCGTATTAAACTTGATTGCCTCTCACTCCCTAGGTGTTGTATAATACCTACAGGTTTAGTGTTTCAACCCAAATATAAGACAGCGACTCTGCTTGCTATGTTAAAGGTTATTGATTAAAAAAAATGTAAATATATGTGAAGTATAAGAGCTCAGCCATTAGTTCCTAATGTGAGTTACTTACACTTGAACACATGTAGATATTTATTTTATATACTTGTATAATTGAATAGTTACACATACACAAAAATGCTTTTAGAATAAAAAAAATCAGCCACATATTAATAACCAACACATTCAAGTGTGAAAATATTTATTGTTGTAAATGTAATTTTATGTTGTATATAACATATGAGTTTTTGTTATATAAATTCTTGAAATAATATAATAATGAACATGTTAGTTAAAGTAAAGGAATGTATGATTGGCGGGGCTACGGGCGTAGTTTTTCCCAGGAGGAGGAAGGGCGTCGCTGCCTCTCTCATATGAGACATGGCAGACCCACTTACTAATTACCCATTGCTTCAGGTGCTTTGACACACATTTTTTTAATTATTTTCTGCATATTCTTTTCACTTGTTGGAGGAATTCAAACCGCAGAGAATCGTACTCCATAACAGAGCCAAGTTACTGCCTCTTCAATTTATCTTTAATTTAGCTTTTCCATTTGATTTTTATGATTTCTCGTTGATATTAAGTGATAGACAAACGTCTTTATTAGTGATAGATTACTTAAGAAGTAGTTGTCTTGTTCGAGGTATTGAGAATGTGTGTGTTGAAAGTTGTTGATCTTAAGAACAGTAGCTGACAAGTGGACTCTTCTAAGGCAGTGTTTTGTTGAACTGTACGACCCTTGTGGGTTTAGCGCTTAGTTTTGATTGTAGTAGTAGTAGCACTGCCTTGTTGAAGGGCTTTTGATCCAAGAAATTTAGGCTGCCTTTCTTGTCTTCGCTGTATGACCCTCTGTCATTGAGCTCTTCTTTATGAATATAATTAAAGACATTTTCTGAATTGTTATAATGTTTTGGATAAACTAGGTTTATTATAGACATATTTAGTTCCTAGTTCTGATTATAAAAGCTATAATAATACTTGTAGGCATAGTGGTTATAAATTATGAAAGGTAGTTGAGCTGCTTAGAAAAAAACATTTTATGCATAACTGGCTAAAAATTTGTGGCTACAGTATTTTTGAAAACAAATAACTACTGTTATTTTATCAGTCTGTAATGCCATGTTCTCAGATTATACCTGGTCTCATATTATACTTTCACCCTGTCATTGAATATTTGGATACATTAATTGATATGTAAATTTTAGCAAAATGTTAGGTTATATTTTATGTTGGTTTTGGTGCAAAATGCAGAATTGGCATATTCAAAATTTACATAACTATATTTCATCATTTTTTGTGATGGCAGCAAATTTTCAAGTAACCTCAAACTTTTCCTTATCATCACTAGCCAAAACTTAATCTGTTTAGAAATAAATGAGGCCTTTGTATTGTACTGTCCCCTCAGGGAAGGTTCCTTGATGTTGGTGAGGGGCTCTTGATTTAGGGAATTGGATCTGTGCTCCAGTTCCCCGAATTAAGCCTGAATGCCTTCCATATCCCCCCCCCAGGTGCTGTATAATCCTACGGGTTTAGCGCTTCCCCTTGATTATAATAATAATAATGTACTGTATCTGTAATGTCCTGTATCTGCCTTGCATTTTGTGTTGTTGGGACACACTTAGCTCATGACACTAGTTGGGTAGTTATATTTTGACATAGTAGAACTTCCTTCAAATTAAACACCAAATTTAAAGTATGAATCTAACCTGAGTATGGGGGAAATTACAGGTATGCCCCTTTTATTCTGTGACTGCACTGGAAACCAATTGAGAAAATAATAATACTATGTACTACTGAGCAGTCAGTTGTAAATTGACTCATGAAATCGTAATGACACAATTGCAAACAAACCATACGACAGGCGGGGATATATCCGCAATCAGAGAGTCGTAAAACTCCAGTCCGATGTGCATCGGTCTAGAGTTTTATGACACTCTAAACACGGGTTCTACCCCCACCTGTGGTATGGTTTAGTTGTAAATTGAAGTTAAACCAATATCTCGTAGCTTGGTTGGTAGTGAACTCATCTCACACATTAAGTGTCTGTAGTTTGATCCCTGGTACAGGTGGGAACATTGGTCGTATTTCCTTAAGACACCTGTTGTCCATGTTCACCCAGCTTAGTAAAACAGGTATCTCAGTGTTAGCCAACTGGTGTGGGTCGCAGCCTGCGGACAAAATTAACTTAAGTTGCCTAAAATACTGTGCATAACAAGTGTCATTGATGTTATTGAGTGCTAGCGCACTCAGCTCTCACACTGAGGTCTGGAGATCAATCCCCGGTACGGCTGGAAAACATTAGGACGTGTTTTCTTAAGACACCTGCTGTCCATGTTCACCCATCAGTATAAAATGGATACCTGGGGGCTAGTCGACTGGTGTGGGTCGCATCCTGGGAGAAAACTGACCCAATTTTCCTGAAATGCTCTGCATAACCAGCAGCTTTCTATATAGTAGTTTGTCATTGATATCAGCTGGGCCTGTACACCTTGTACATATACTGTACTTGTAGAAATAAAAATTATTATTTTTAAGTTCCATGGATAAAATCTCTCGTAAACAAATGTTTCAGAGAAAATTTTTACAGTACAGGTAGTTATAATGACATAGTATTTTAGTTTGAATATTCAGGCCCTAATTACTTGGTAAGGTATGAGGAATTTATGACTCATGATGTGAGTAAAGGAAACGTTATGTATCATGCAAGACTTGTATCCAAAGGAACCACACTTGATGTTTATCTTAACTTTAAAATACTGTACTGTGTAAAAATTCAACTGTGAATTTGTACAGACAAATTTGATCTAAAATGTGTAATGTTTTTCTCTAACCCCTCAACTAGGTTTAGCGCTTTGTTTTGATTATAATAATCGAACCCCTCAAGGGAGGTGCTTTGATGCCAGTAATGGGCTCTTGATCCAAAGAATGGGACAACCTCCCTTAAATTGAACCTGAAAGTCTCCCATTTTCCAAGTGCTATATGACCTATACAGGCTGAGCACATCTGGGGAATAAAATGAATGAAATTATTCTCCAAACAAACTTGCAAAAATTATATTAATTTAATAGTTTTTATTCTACAGTACTGCAGTCTGTATTTTCTTTTCTTCATTAAGCTGCTATTGCTGAAAATATAATTGGTTCCTTTTAAGTAGCATTTAAAAAATGAAGGATGTATTACTGTATAAATACCAGATAGTGTGTTCAATACAAAAAAAATTTACTCTTAAAATATGCTAAAATTGTGTATGCTGTACAAGTACTCCAAAGGCGAATATATGGTACTCTATTATGCATTATAAGTTATGTATGTGGTAGTAAAACAATAATTTTTAAGATGATTTTATCCATATCTAGAAAAATTTTAAAAGGCATTTCTAAATTACTGCTATCAAAATTAATTTAATATGATCCTTTTTCAACACATTGGCCATCTCCCACCAAGGCAGGGTGACCAAAAAAGAAACAAACACTTTCACCATCATTCAACACTTTCACTATCAGTCATTTACACAATCACTGTCTTTGCAGAGGCACTCAGATATGTCAGTTCAGATGTCACTCCAAACAGCAAATATCCCAAACCCCTCCTTTAAAGTGCAGGCATTGTACTTCCCACCTCCAGGACTCATGTTCAGCTAACTGTATTTTATTAACAATATATATCAGTAATTTTTAGTGTGGAATTTTTAACATAATTTTCTATTTTCACAGCAAATTTTACCAGATGCTTATGAATACCGAATCTGTCAATTTAATGAGTCAGATAAAAGAGGAAATTCAGAGCCAATCACAGAGTTTGAAGCAACTATTCGATTGAAAATAAAAACTAAGGCAGAAGCAAAGTTATGGATAAAAGATTTGGAGAGAACATCTGCTGTGACATGGCGAGTTGACAAGACCTATCCAATATGTGGAGGCAAGAAAACTCAAAATGTGTATCGAGTAAGTGCTGTCAGTTTTTAATATCAATTGCTGTCAGTTTTTAATATCAGTTAATTTTGTAATAAATCTTGTATATAATCATAGAGATCTTGGAAGTTTATACAGTATCTATTTAGTGAGACTTCCTTACTGATTTTTCAATACAGTATCAGGCTTTATTGTAACAGAGTACTGGTAATACAGTTAGGATTACACCTACCATCCGACTTACGACCGAGATCGGTTCCGAGAAACCGGTCGTAGGTCTAAATGGTCGTAAGTCGAACTTTACTACTGAATATCAACAAAACATTTTTGTAATGACTATTTTATTGTTTTATTTTGGTATTTCTTGTTTTACTTTACTTTTTATGCTGTTAGTACTGTATTTTATACTGTAAGGTTTAGGATAAACACTGTGTACAACACAAATAGTTGTTTATTTCCCAGAAATTTGGCATAAAAAACACGGTCGTAAGTTGAGTGGTTGTAAGTCGAGCAGGTCGTAAGTCGGATGGTAGGTGTATAAGAATTGAAAGAAAATGTTTTATTTTATTATTATTTTTATTAACACATTAGCCGTCTCCCACTAAGGCAGGGTGGGCCGAAAAAGAAAAACTTTCATCACCACTCACTCCATCACTGTCTTACCAGAGTCATGCTTACACTACAGTTATAAAACTACAACATTAACACCCCTCCTTCAGAGTGCCGGCACTGTACATAAAAAGCAGAAATTATTGCTTTTATACATTGATACTGTGCTCTCCCAAAGTCCTACCATTGAGCCACCAACAACAACTGCTTGGCATAACATAACATCAGAAAAGCTTGGCCCTGGTCAATATGCAAGTATAGAACAGCTCTTGAAACTGATCACAGGTATCCTCTCCAAAGGGGTGGTTATGAAAAAAGTTCTTAAGATAGTTGTCGTCGTCATCTTTCAACAAACTGGCTGCATCTCACCGAGGCTGGATGGCCCAAAAAGAAAAACAAAAGTTTTGATTTTTAACTTCAGTAATGTATACAGGAGAAGGGGTTACTAGCCCCTTGTTCCCAGCATTTTAGTCACCTTTTATGACATGCCTGGCTTATGAAGGAAAATTCTATTCCACTTCCTCATGGAGATAAGTGGAAACAAACAAGAACAAGAACTAGTAAGAAAATAGAAGAAAACCCAGAAGGGTGTGTGTATATATATGCTTTTACATGCATGTGTAGTGTGGCCTAAATGTAAGTAGAAGTAGCAAGATGTACCTGAAATCTTGCATGTTTATGAGACAGAAAAAAGACACCAGCAATCCTACCATCATGTAAAACAATTACAGGCTTTTGTTTTACACTCGCTTGGCAGGATGGTAATACCTCCCTGGGTGGTTGCTGTCTACCAACCTACTAGAGTGGTACCTCAAGTTACGAACTTAATTCATTCCAGAAGGCTGTTCGAGTGTCGATACTGAACGAATACTGTGTTCCCATAAGGAATTATGTAAATTAGATTAGTCCATTTCAAACCCCCAAAAATACACTTACAAAAGCACTTACAAAAATACACTTACATAATTGTTCGAGTTGGGAACTGTTCGAAACTCGAGGTACCACTGTACCTAGATTCAGATAGTATTATATAAACAAAATCTGGCCTGTTCTTATGACAGTAATGAGACTAGGCCTCTCTCTTTCAGTATTAAACCCCTTTTTTCATTTCATGAAGTGGTTATCCATTACTCTATTTCCCCCTATGTAACTAGACATTGAAAATTACATTTCCTAGATGAACCCATAAATCCATAATCTGCAAATATTGATAAAATCTTTTTGTGTAATGAATTTACATTTTTGTTGAATATTGTTGTAATCTCATTAATGTTAACATTCATAAGAAAGATTGTCCTGTAGGGAAAAATTTTGGGTATTTAAAATCCAATGAGCACACTTTTAAGCAATATTCTCAGGGTGATTTTCAGCTTGGGTCGTGTGTCAAACTGAAACAAAATGGGGTCATTAATAGGTGCGAAAAATTGAAGTTGTTCAAGGGAAATCCTTCAGTAATAATATTGGATAGTAAAAATTTGCAAAATAGTTGTTTGGTTATAATTGAATTGTATATCTTTCGTAAGCCTGCTGTGATATATCTTAAATAAGCCTGCTGTGATATATCTTTCATAAGCCTGCTGTGATATATCTTTCATAAGCCTGCTATGTGTCATTCTCTCCAGATGACATTGTAGATTTTTGTTGATCTGCCCTACTACACTACAACCAAAATTTCTTGCCTTTACCCTTCCATTTTTTCCATGCACTTCTCTATTAAATATTCTTTTCTACCTACAGTACTTAAAAAATGCATTTCTTAAGTAATTTCAACAGATTGATGCTGATAAGGGGCTCTTGATCCAAGATTCAACCCTAAGGGATTTAGCACTTTCCCAAGAAAATAATAAATTGAGTTTGCATCATTAATATGATTATATTTCTTCCTCTATCAGATTGACATGAGATGCCAACATAGAACTTATTCAAGATCTCCAACTGCTGACAAGAAGGCCTCCTCCAAAAATACTTGTTGTCCTGCGAAGATGTTTCTTGTGGTAAAACGAACTCATATGGCAAGTGGTAAATTATCTCAGTAAGTATTAAGGATTAAGGAATCTTGCTGAGAAGCACTTTTATTATTTCAAGTTTTAATTATTAACAAAGTGAGTTAATTCATTATTTTAAAGATGTAGTGAACTCAAATCACTATGCTCAATCTGGTGAGCAGACATTGTTGGTAGTGTGGTATTGTCCATTACTATGCGTCTTTTTTTTTTTTTTTTTTAGAAAGAGGGCCTGTTCTTGTCACTTTTACTTTTCATAAGTATGCACTGTAAAATACCTGAACTCTAGTGAGATTCAGATAGTTAAAAGAAAGAGTACATGTAGCTTAAAAATGGTTATACACTGTATTAATACTGTGCTGTGCATCTGTCATTACTTACCTTCAGGTCGAGTTCACAATGCTTATCATTTTGAAATGTGAGAAGAGGATGGTTGTGGCCCTACTGGGCAGAGGCTGAAGGATGGGGATCTTGTGATATTGAAAGTTGGGGATCTTGTGTTGGTATAGGTTGGGGATCTTGTGATATTGATGCATCTTCATTGATTGATTGTTGCAGTGGAGTCCTCAAGTACTCTGTCATATGCTCTGGTATGTTTTTACCCTGCAGTTGTCTATACAGCAGATGATAAGGCCCTAACCACCTTATCCAGAGCATGCTTTATGGCAGGGCTTCGAGATTAGTCATTGTCCTTTTCAAGAAAAAGTCTGCAAGTTTTCCAACAGTTTACAGTGACTTGCATATCTCATCACCTCATTGCCCTAAATTGACTGAATGGTCAAATCTCCAACACCAAACACTCATGCTGTCTCCATGATGCATGTACCGCTCTTCAGCATCTCAATTACCTCCAGTTTTTTCATTATAGGCATAGTTTCATGCTTAATCTTCTTGCTTCTCCAGTGTCACCTGCACTTTGTTTAGTTACCATGATAAATATCCAGAGATGAGACGGCACTGAAAAGAAGGAAAAGTGAGCAATGTGCATTGAGCAAAAATTGTATGGCTTGTGTCCAGATTCATAGATCTACAGTGGAAGATGTTTGTTTGCATCTCTTCACCCTCCCTAACACCCTCCCTGGCAGTGCTAAGACAATGGAGTTCCCAGTGCATAGTGGGTCACAGGCCTGCCTTCCATGGTACTCCTTAATGGATTTGAACTCCACCAGTGGAAATGAATTTCACTCCAGTGCACCTTAATGGAAATGGTCATGGGTCTATTAGAGATTAAAGAAATAAATTTAATTTGCTGAATATTGAAATTGTGAGCCATAATTGCATGACTTAAGGCATTCTACTGTAATTCACTGGTGAGTTAAGAGGCGGAACAAAGAATTTAAGCTCACCCTTTTTCCCTTTGCGTGCAAACTAAAATTAGGGTAATTATAAATAGGATTTGATTATATATTTACATAGAAGGGTGTCTTGAGAATAGATTATTCACGGGTGTTCTGGTGTCTCATATTTTTGTATTTGTAAACAACTCCAAAATTGAAAACTTAATGTTTTATCCACATACAACTCTCTCTCTCCTCTTTCTGGAAGCCTTTTCCTTATATACTGTATATACACATCAGTATTAACCAGTTTACAGCAAAATTTATGGAGTATGACTTCTGAAAAGCATAATGAATCCAAATCCACAGAAAAAAAAAGGTATTACATGAGGTAATCCAGCTTGTTCCTATTACAGTCTCAGTTGATCTTGTATAATATTTTTATTATTGTACTACCAGTAGTTTTTAATTACTTTGTTACTAGTACTGTACAGGCAGGCCATGCTTTACAGAGCTTTTCTTCACAATGTTTTGCTAATACAGTGCTTTTCTATTATACCCATTCTTCATTTATTCAGGCTTCCTACAATAAATATATTCACCACTCACTATAAGCTAAGTACAAAAATATTTTAGGGTAAGTAATGCATGTACTGTATATGCATTTTTTAGCCCTAGCTCTATTGCTTGCTTAATATATGATAGTGTAAACATGTTATTCGGCTTTAATATACATTTTAAAATGAAAAAAAGGTTGTTTCACTTTACAGTAATTTTCACTTTACAGCAGTAGCCTGGAACTTAACCTGCTGTATAAGCGGGGCCCTCCTGTTCCTGTATTTTGTTTTGTGTAGTGTAGAGGATGATTCAAGCACAAATTGTTATTAACCTTTTTGTTATTCCATAACCTTATTTCCATAGTTCTTCATTAGCAAAGCTGCTGTTTCTGTTACTGGGTTAGTATAAGCATATCCTAGTGTGTAATGTGAATGTATTGATTTTGCAGGTCAACAGATGAATATTTACAAGAATTTCCCACTCGTGTTTACTTGGACTTCAGACACAATCATCAGCTCCTTTCGCCAGAAATTCTTCGCAAAAGAGATGTGTCTGAGGAAACTGTGCAAAAATTGACAGAGCTCTACAAGAAAGGACACACTCCATTATCTGCTTTAGAAGTAATCAAACATGATCTCCAGGCAGATTATGGAGATCAGTATGTCTTTGTTGCTGCAGATAGATCAAAATGCCCTGACAAGCAGTTTTGTTACCGGTAAGTAAAATTAAATTATCATAATTATTAGTAAAAGTACTGACAAAATAATATTCAAAGGGCTGAGGATGGGTTGTGAAAAGTACAGCGTCTGCATTCTGAAGGAAGGGTGCGGATGTTTCAGTTGGGAGGGTCATCTGAACTGTAATGTCAGGATGCTACTGGCAATACCAATAGAAAGAATGATGGTAAGAGTGTTTCTTATTTTTCAGTGGGATACAGATGGTGCTAAAATATTACACACACACACTCGTTTATGCATACATACATTCATTCATTCATACATACATTCATATATTTATTCATACATATATTCATTCATACATATATTCATTTATACATACATTCATTATGTAAGTAAGTTAATTCAGGTATACACAAATACAGTTACATTGATTATCATACATAGCAGCATATGTGTAGAGAACCTAGGATAACCCAAAAAAGTCAGACAAAGTGACTTATTTCCATTGGGGTCCATTAAGACCCCATTCTTACATACATTCACACACATATTCATACATACACTCATACATACATATATTCATACATACATATATTCATACATACATTCATTCTTTCAACACACTGGCCGTATCCCACCGAGGCAGGGTGGCCCAAAAGGAAAAACGAAAGTTTCTCCTTTTACATTTAGTAATATATACAGGAGAAGGGGTTACTAGCCCCTTGCTCCCGGCATTTTAGTCACCTCTTACAATACGCATGGCTTACGGAGGAAGAATTCTGTTCCACTTCCCCATGGAGGTAAGAGGAAATAAACAAGAACAAGAACTAGAAAGAAAATAGAAGAAAACTCAAAGGGGTGTGTATATATATCGCTTGTACATGTATGTGTAGTGTGACCTAAGTGTAAGTAGAAGTAGCAAGACGTACCTGAAATCTTGCATGTTTATGAGACAGAAAAAAGGACGCCAGCAATCCTACCATCATGTAAAATGATTACAGGCTTTCGTTTTACACTCACTTGGCAGGACGGTAGTACCTCCCTGGGCGGTTGCTGGCTACCAACCTACTACCTAGACATACATTCATACATAAATTTTTTTAATACACTGGCCATCTCCCACCGAGGTAGAGTGTCCCAAATAAGAAGAGATGCTTTCACCACTAATCACTCCAGCACTGTCTTGCCAGGGGCATGGCAACATTACAACTCAGATGCCCCTCCAAACTGTAATATCCCCACCCCTCCAGAGTTCACACATTATTTCCCACCTCCAGGATTCGAGTCCAGCTAATCAATTTCCTTGAATCCCTTTATAAATGTTACTTTGCTCACACTCATGCATACATAAAAAACTCATTGGTTGTCTCTTGCCAAGGCGGGATGACCCGGAAAAAGAAAACGCATCCACTAACATTCACTCTTTATTTTTATTTATTTATTTACTTTATTTACTTATTCTCATTTGTACTTGCATACTAATTCAACTTCATTCAGTGCACATTGTCATTATTTAGTAATAGCAAGAAGATACTGCTTCACTTTATTACACAACATCACAAATACTGTGGTGATAGGTTCTTGATCCTTGGGTTAAGCCTGATTACCGTACCTCTTATTCTCCAGGTCTAGCATAACTCACGGATTTAGCACTTCCCCATAAATGTAATAATCTGTATGAAGGTGGATTTATTCTTACCCTTTATGATACATTTAAGTATTTTACTTTTAAATATTCTCTCATTAATAGCATGTCTAGAAATTTGATATTAAAGATCTTACAGCCTATTTAGGAATTAGAGTAGTTTCAGTGTATCTGTGAACAGTCCTTCTTGCAAATTTGTGTATAATATTTTGATTATATTGTGTTTTTACTAAAGAACAGCCAACAAATTTATTTAATTATCCAATATAATCCTGGTTCAGTGGCTTTTCCTTGCCCAAATCTTTATCCTAGTCATTATTTTTTATGAATGTCAGTACTAACTGGATTAGTGATATTATATACTATAGAGATATGATCTCTGTAACACAGAATGAATCCAAATCTAAAACAATTTGTTATGTAGACTTTATTTTGTGTTCATAGTTTCATAGTTTCTACTTTTGTGGAACCTCTAGGAATTCATCCCACACAGATTCATAGGGATGACTTTAATAATTCTATAATAATAATACCAATCAAAGAGTTCATTTATATGTAGTATTTTATTATTATGTATTTTTAATTGGTCATCTTTCTATCATTTAACTGTTTTTAATATGGAAATATGTTTTCTGCCATAATAATCTTTTTTATTTCTTCAGGCTCTACTACAAACTTTTCTGCCCTAAATATCCAAAATCATTTGGGAAAAAAATGTTATTAGAGCTACAGGGGCATTTAAAGCCTTTTTGTGAAAAATATGATTCTCACTGTGCAAGCATTGAAAAAACTGAAGAAGATAATATTATCATTGCAATTTGTTCTCCAAAACACAGAGTGATACAAAATGAAAATAGTGAAGACAATGGCCAAAAAGGTCTTTTATCAGTGTCTCAAGGTAAGCAGTCACTTAATGTAGAACATTCTTCATCAAACCTACACATGGAAAGTTCTCCACCTCACTTACATTTTAATCAGTGTCATTCTCAGAGTGATTTACTGGCTGAGGGCCTTAAAACAGTGTTTGATGATTTGCTGTCCAAATTAGAATGTAGTCCAGATATCTACCTCAAACCTTTAGAGGCATTTTTGAAAAACTGTCAAAATATTAAAAAAGACAATGATTTAGTAAGTGCCTTGCAAACATTTGGTCAGTACTCGAGTGTAACCATGGCTATATCGAGCACCCTAAAGCGTCAGCACTCGGCAGATCCTTATAAATTGGATCCAACAACCATTATCTGTGCAAAGAAGACGAAGGGAACACGACGTCGGTTAATTACGGCACGACCAATCTCTCGCCAAACAATGTCCCACCATGAAAACAACAATTCCGAAAGAGAGGTATCAGTTCACAAGTTATCGGCTCAGGAGGTATCAGTGTATGATGAACCAGCTCATGAAGTATCAGCACATGAGGTACCAGCTCATGAGGTTTCTGTTCATGGGGTATCAGTTCACGAGGTATCAGCACACGAGATATCAGCTCATGAGATATCAGCTCATGAGATATCAGCTCATGAGGTTGCAGTTCATGAGGTTTCAGCACCTGAGGTATCAGTCCATGAGGTATCAGCACATGAAGTATCAGCACATGAGGTAGCAGCGCATGAAGTATCATCTAATGAAATATCAGCTCAGCTATCAGCTCCTGAAATATCGTCACATCAAATATCAGCTCACCATATACCAGCACACCACATACAAGCTCACCAAGTATCAGCTCACTATATATCAGCTCACCATGTATCATCTCACCATGTACCAGTTCGCACTATACCTCAACATAATATGCATTTGCATCCTACACACATTACTTTCTGCACACCTCCACAAAGAAGATCATAAGTCATTTAGAGGAAACTGGAGTATATTAGATGATCATAAATGCCTAGCAATTCAGGTACTGTAAATTTAGTAATGGTCATATATAAATTGTAAGGTTTAACCTAATATTTTCCAGTTTCTTCTTGAGCTATATATACATAAGTTGATTTATTTTACTAATTTTACAGAAATGCAAATATTGGGATGGATGGGGTTCTGTTACCAAATATAAATATTACTGTATATTGTATATACACTTGACACTTGAAATTTTTTTCAATGTAAATTATGATTAATTTAGAGACTGTGTTAATCAGATTTGAAATTTTTATTAAGTTAAGTAGAGCAGTGATTAGCAGTGGTTGAAGCTTGAGTGAATTAAGCATGGCACAGTAAAGGGGGAGTGGGTGGCTGATAATGGCAATTGCAGTAGATAGAGATATGGTTCTGCCATGATGACAACAAAAGACAGTTCTGTAACCAGCAAACTTTATTCATTGTTTCTAAATCACTTGACCCAGTGGATTTTGGCCCATATTTCCAAAATCTGATAAAACTGAGGTCTGTTATATTGCAGGTTTACTGAGAATTACCATACCTATTTGAATTTGTGGGGAGGGAGGCTAACTCCAGTTCTTAGTCCCACCTCTTAATATTTAACTGACTGATGCCAATGAGTCTTGTTATGTCTGTTCTTGAGCCCATTCAAAATCCCTGTAAACTTACCATGTAGAATTATGAAGCATCACAAAGAAATTGATTAAGCAGATTAGAAAAAAATGATCATACAGTAAATGGGTTGGTACTGTCCCTACAGGCAAGGGTTTAAGGTTAATGATGCTAAATAATGTGAAGGGTGGGAAGCACCAGTGGCATAATAACACAAGCGCTGGAGGTTATATTTGTTTCAATCCTAGTTTTTTAACACACCGGTCATCTCCCACTGAAGCAGGGTGATACGAAAAAAAAACATTCACCATCATTCACACTTACTGGCTTACCAGAGGTGTGCATATACGTACTACAGTTTAGATGTCCCTCAAAGCAGCAAATATCCCAAACCCCAAGTAATAGTACTATAAATTATTTGGTTTGATAAGAATTATGCACTCCGTAGCCATCCTGTGGGTGGTAGTTAAAAAATTACAGAAGCACATCATGAATCTAGGAACTGTACCGCAACATTTGTTTTTCTTAGTTTTTTTATAATTTGTTCCCATTCACTTCTGATGATGCTAAGTGCAAATGCAGTTTTACAGAGAAAATTTTAATTTGCTTAAATTTATGAGTGGGTAGCACAAGCACCCAGAGATTATTGTGTCTTAACTGACCCATTCAAGGATGATTATTGTAACATTAAAAAAGAACTGCTAAACCTATGTTGGTCATTCAGCATTGCTTCAAGGAGGTACCTTGATGCTGGTGAAGGGCTCTTGATTCAAGACTCAGGGAGGTACGTAGATGTTGGTGAAGGGCTCTTGGTCTAGCGAATTGGAGTTACTCTTCTCGTTCTCAGATCAAACTTGGTAACTTCCCATTTCCCAGGCTGTGTGTGACCCTTACAGGTTAAGCACTGCCACAGAAATGTAATATATATATATATAAATATGTGGCTATAGGAGGGTGGGTGCAGGAGGAAAGAGGAGTGATTGGTGGAATGATGAGGTAAGGTGTGATAAAAAAGAAAAAGGTCACTTATGAGAGGATTTTACAAAGCAGAAGTGATATAAGAAGGGCAGAGTATATGGAGAGTAAAAGAAAGGTAAAGAGAGTAGTGAGAGAGTGCAAAAGGAGAGCAAATGATAGAATGGGAGAGGCAGTGTCAAGAAATTTTGCTGAGGAAAAGAAAATTTTTTTTAGATAAACAGGCTAAGAAATCTTGGGGAACGAATGGATTTGTCAGTTAAAAACAAAGTAGAGGAGTTAGTAGATGGGGAGCTGGAGGTATTGGGTAGATGGCAGGAATATTTATTTTGAAGAACTTTTAAATGTTGATGAAGAAAGGGAGGCAATAATTTCATGCACTGGCCACGGAGGTATAACATCTTCTAGGAGTGAAGAAGAGCAGGATGTGAGTGTGGGGGAGGTGCCTGAAGCATTATGTAGAATGAAAGTGGGTAAAGCAGCTGGAACTGATGGGATCATGACAGAAATGTTACAAGCAGGGGCAGGGGGGGAGGGGTTAGTGTTGGAGCGGTTGGTATTTTTGTTTAATAAATTATGAAAAAAGGGGAAGGTACTTAGGGATTGGCAGAGAGCATGTTTAATTCCTTTATATAAAGGGAAGGGGGACAAAAGAGATAGTAAAAATTATAGGGGAAGAAGTTTACTGAGTATACCAGATAAAGTGTATGGTAGAGTTATTATTGAAAAAATTAGAGGTAAGACAGAGAACAGGATTGCAGATGAACAAGGAGGTTTTAGAATGGGTAGAGGATGTGTAGATCAAGTGTTTACATTGAAATATAGATGTGAACAGTATTTACATAAACGTAAGAACATAAGAAAGGAGGAATACTGCAGTAGGCCCATACTGGGCAGGTCCTTCACAAATCTAAACCACTAACAGCATATTTGCCCAGCCCACTTTAGTTTTACCCTAACAATAAGCTCTGATATATCCATTAACTCGTGTGCATTTATCCTCTTCAAGGGGGGGCTCCTTGTTGTGGTGAAGAGGCTCTTGGTCTGAGGAATTAGACCTGTCGATCTCCTTCCTCAGACCGAACCTAATTACCCCCCAATCCCCCCTTCCCTATCCCATCCTCCCCTTTTTCCTTTCCTCCTCCTCCCCACCCCTCCCTTTTGCCCTTCCTCTTTTTGGCCTTTGGGATTTCTCCCACAGGCACGCTAGTTCCTAGGTAGGGGAAAGGATACCGGGGTCCATCCCATTCCGTTGAGGTTCTTGGCGGTGGCGTAGTTTGCCGTGGAATCTGGATCACCTGGGGATGTCCCGATCCCTCTCCGGTATCCCGGAGTGTAGCTTTGGGTGTCTTTTGGGAGACGAGTGTATCTCTGGAAGCCACCTTTCGGATTCCGGGGGTGGTGGCCGAAGGAGGTATGCTTTGTGGCGGATATCTGGCCGCTCTCTCTTTTGTCCACCGAGGTAGCTCGGCAAATGTGAGGTTGCTATCCCGGATTGCTGGTTTACTGGCATGAAGGGTAGGGTATGGCACAGGTTCCATGCTGCATCTGCACTACTAGTGGTGCTGAGGTCCTCTTCGGCGCGGAGGGAGATTTCCGGCCCTTTCATTCCTCCTGGGAACTATTCCTCCCCGCTCCCCCCTTTTTTAATTCTTTTTTTTTTATTTTCTTTTCTTTCTTTTTTTTTCTTAAAAACAAAAAGCAAAGGAGTAACCTAACCATGGAGAACCCAATCCATGAACCCACTACTCCCGGGCCCCTTCTTGATACCGCATCCCATTCTGACCCTGCCTTGTTTTTAGACCACTCTTCGGACACTCCTGATGCCCCTGTACCTCTTGCTGGTGCTGTTTCCTCACCCGCTTCAGGTACCGGGGCTTCGACTGACTCCTTCGATTTGTCTGACCTCCGCTCTCCTTTGACTATGCTTCCAGCCTCTCCCTCTACGGTACGGCAATTTTCGAATCGCCAGCCCGTTTCACAACGGACCAACTCCGGTCCTACTCCTAAACGCCAACGTCGATCTCCTGATGATGTTCCTTCGTTACCTTCCCATTCTACTCGGAAAAGACCAACACGTCATGCACTCCCTCTCCACGCTCAGTTTCGGACCACACAATGGACTAAATTCTTTACTTTAAGACCGACTTCTTCTTCTGCCTATCTTTCTGACCATAGTATTGGCAAAGCGCTCCTATGTCATGTTGGTAGAGATATTTCATTTCATGCTCTCAAGAGTGGTACGCGCATCGTCACTATCCAGAATGCTACCCAAGCTCATGATCTTTCTCTCCTTTCGCATATCGATACTACTCCTATCACTATTGAAAAACATTATTCTCTCAATTCTTGTAGTGATACTGTCATTCTGCCCCATACCATAGTCCAACAGAATTTCCAGTCATGTGGCACTGACATTCTTGAACAGCTGGAACTCCAGGATCTCCCAATCCTCAAAGTCGACACTTATGTCCTTCCTGCCCGTGGGCAGAGACGATACCCTTGCAGTGTGGCTCGATTAACTTTCGACAGCCGAGAACTCCCATCCTCTGTTTATGTCGCGGGACATAGGTTACAAGTTCGAAAGGTGATCCCTACACCGCAACAGTGTAGAAATTGCTGGCGTTTTGGTCACCCAGCGAAATACTGCAGATCTATAGCCGAATGCCCAGTCTGTGGTGCCGACGACCATTCTAATACATCTTGCAATCAACCTCCATCTTGCCTTAATTGTAATGAAGCTCACCCTTCATACTCCCGCCGTTGCCAGGTCTACTTAAATGAGCATGAAATCCGTTGCCTCAAAGAGGCAGAAGGTCTCATGCTATGGCAGTTACTCATCTCCGCCTCCAAGGAAGACTACCCCGTGTTTCTTATTCTCGTGTTTCAAAACATCCCCCCACTTCTGGGGTCCCATCTTCTGCAGCCTACTCTGTTGTTACCCCTCCCATAGCCACTCAGGCATCTAATCCTTTTGCTGTCCTTGGCTCTGACGTCCCGACTACAACTCAGTCTGTTCTCACATCTTCGCGTCCTTCCTCACAAGCCCCAGTATACGACACCTTATACCAATCGCCCCTCTACTTCTCAGAAGTCCAAAAAATCCACATTGCTCAAATCTTCTTTGCCCCTTCCTTCCCTTCTTCCACCTCTACACTTTACCTTTCCAGTCTCTGTGCCTAGTTCTTCCCCTCTCTCTGGCTCTATTACAAGTGTGGAGGTTCACCCTCCTCCTCGTACTATGCCTTCCACCCCTGTCCCCTCCCAAGTTTCTCCCTCTTCTGCCACCTCCCAGGTTTGCCTCTTCTGTCCCCCCCCCCCCCACACTTCATCTCCAGTCCCCTACACTCTTTCGTCCACCTCTGCTTTGGTAAAGTCCATTACTGTCCCAATCTTTACTCACTCTCCTCCTTCTACCTCCAATATGATCTCCCATACATCTTTGAATTCAGAAACACTTGAAGCCATTTCAGAATATATTGCAGAGACTAAACCTTCAATGGACACTGATTCACTTCCTGTTCCTTCTCTTCCCTCTCCTCCATCTTCACAACTCCATTCTTCGCAACGCTCCATTCCTTTGCTGCTTGAACATCTTCCAATGTCACCACACGTTGACTTTTCTAACCCCTCTAGTCCATAGGTGCCCTTCCCTATGGATTCCTGGTATTTTCTTCATTGCCAATCATGGCCTATTTACAGTGGAATATCCGTGGCCTCAGGGGTAATCGGGGTGAGCTTCAGATGTTGCTTTCCAGGTTTTCCCCTGTTGGTGCTTGCTTACAAGAACCAAAATTACACTCGGCTGTTTTCCAACCTATCTCAGGCTATAATTTATTGTATTCTTCGGATCCTTTCTCAGATGGGACCTTCAATGAAAGTGTCCTTCTTCTACGCAATGATATTCCGTACTGTCAACTATTTGTCCACACCTCGCTGCATTACACTGCAGCCCGTATCCACTTGAATAAGTGGTTTACAATATGTTCTTTATATCTCTCTCCTTCTCGAGCATTTTCTATCCCAGATTTTGCTTTTCTAGATTCATCCTTACCACCACCACTTCTGTTACATGGTGATTTTTAACGCCCACCATTTCCTCGGGGGGGGGGGGGGGTCTCATTGTGACTCACATGGCATCCAGTTGGAGGCTTTTCTTGCCTCTCACCCCCTCCATGTTTTAAATACGGGTACTCCCACCCATATTGATCCTCGTACTCATACTCTATCTTGCGTCGATCTATCAGTCTGCTCTTCCTCCACTGCACTAGACTTCACCTGGTCTGTTCTAACGGACTTACATGACAGCGATCATTTTCCAATCATTCTTACTTCTCCTTCATATTCACCACCTTTCCGTAGCCCTCGCTGGCAATTTGATCGGGCAAATTGGGACCTTTACTCGCAAGTCACTGCTTTTAGTGAGGTTCCTTCTTCATCCTCCATTGATGAGCTCCTACACCTCTTCTTGACGTCAGTTTATACCGCAGCTTCTCATTCTATACCCCCAAACCTCAGGCAGGCATTCTCAGAAGTGCGTGCCTTGGTGGTTCCTGCTTGTGCTCGTGCAGTACGTTTGAAATGCGCTGCATGGGGCAGGTACCGATACAATAGAACCAATGAGAGACTTCTTGATTTTAAGCAGAAGCATGCGATCTCTCGCCGTGTCATTCGTGATGCTAAACGCACTTGCTGGCGAGACTATGTTTCCACCATCACCTCTGCTTCCTCTATGAGTGCAGTCTGGAAAAAAGTGAGGAAATTGAGTGGTAAATTCTCTCCTGACCCGGCTCCTGTTCTACGGGTCGCCGGTATTGATGTAGCAAACAGTAGTCAGTGTTACATTAACCTTCATATTGCTCATAATAGCACATTTGCTTCAGTGTATATTCGCTGTTAATCTTTTTTGAGCACAATGTAGATTTCTTTTAAATTAAATAATGAAAAATTCAACGTTGCCATTGAAATTGGCACTCATCTGGTCCGTATTTCCCGGGGGCTCCATCTATGCCATTGTTTCTTTCCTCAAAGTCTGCCAGAGAGTTAGTACCCTTGGACTTTTCTTCTCTCAGAGAAGAACAGTATAATGTGCTTTTTACACTTCAGGAACTGGAGGCAAGACTCTCAGCTTGCCGATCATCGGCAGCTGGACCTGACGACATTCATATTCGTATGTTACAACATTTACTTCAGTCGGCCCTTGTAGTCCTCTTACACCTCTTCAATCTTATTTGGGCACAAGGAGTTCTTCCCCAGCTGTGGAAATCTGCCATTGTTCTCCCTTTCCGCAAGCCAGGCACTACAGGACATGATGCCTCCCATATCGTCCCATCGCTCTTACTAGTGCAGTTTGCAAAGTGAGGGGAACGTCTGGTAAATTGACGTTTAATGTGGTATTTAGAGACACACAACAGTTCTCCGCTAGTCAATATGGCTTTCGTAAGGGGTGTTCTACCATAGACCCCTTACACGCTTGATACGTATGTTCGTAATGCCTTTGCGAATAATCACTCGGTTATTGCCATATTTTTTG